GTAGTGCTCTTTCTATCATCCAAGTCACCACTCCAATCGCTATCACTATAGCCACGATTTCATAATTGTTAGAAGAGTAATAGTGTAAGCCAAAGTTTGTTGTACCTTTGATATATCGAAGGATTCTCTTTGCCGCCTTGAAGTGAGTTGTTGTTGGAGATTCCATGTAACGACTTATGACTCCTACAACATAGAGAATATCTGGCCTTGTACTTGTCAAGTAACGTAGACTTCCAACCAAACGTTTGTAAAGAGTTGGATCCACAGTCTCTCCATTTTCATGCTTACTTAATTTGCTGCCACATACCATCGGGGTGCCAACTGGATTGGCATCATCCATCTTGAACTTCTTAAGGACTTCTTTTACATAGACTTATTGGGTGATGGAAATTCCTTTATCTTCTTGCTTTACTTTAATGCCAAGATAATATGCCATGAGCCTTATGTCTGTCATCTCAAATTCATTTGACATGTCTTTCTTGAACTCTTTGAACATGCTTAGATTGTTCCCAGTGAAGATCAAATCATCTACATATAAGCACACAATTCAAATATCTTCACTTTGCGCTTTAATATAGAGTGCATGCTCATATGGACACTTGATGAAGTTCTTGTCTAGAAATTACTTGTCGATTCGAACATTCCAAGCTCTCAGTGCTTGCTTGAGTCCGTACACGCCTTTTTCAACTTGAAGACTTTTTCTTCTTGCCCTTTTACTTCATATCCCTATGGTTGCTCGATATAAACTTCTTCTTCGAGAAAACGATTCAAGAAGGCCGACTTCACATCTATTTGATAGATCTTCCATTCATTTTGAGCTGCCAAAGAAATGATAAGTCTAATAGTTTCAAGACGAGCAACATGGGCAAATACCTCATCATAGTCAATTCCTTATCTTTGACTCTAGCCTTTTGCCACCAGTCTTGCTTTGTATCTCTCCATGTTTCCTTTTGCATTCTTCTTCGCCTTGTACACCCATCTTACTCCGATTGCTTTGTGCCCTCGTGGAAGTGTAGTAAGTTCCCACGTATCATTCTTCGTGATTGACTTTATTTCTTCATCCATGGCGTCTCTCCACTTTACGTTTTCAACAACTTCTTGATTTCTTAGAGGCTCACAATCACCAAAAAGACAAAAGAGGTTCATGTCATTTTGGTTTTCAGTTACCTTATAAAGCTCTTCAATGCTCCTTAATCATGGTGTCCTCTCACTTGAGCTTGTTTTATCCAACGTTGGTGTCGGTGAGGCAGGTGGTGTAATATGTTCATCTATCATTGGTTGTTCCATTTCATCTTCTTCTTCTTCAAAATAAGGAATAAAATCATACTTGTCTTCTTGAACACTCCAACCCCAATAATCTTTTTCTTCAAACTCCATGTCACGACTTATGACAATCTTTCCACTATTTGGATTATAGAGCTTGTATCCTTTGGAGCTTGAGTCGTAACCCACAAATACATACTTCTCACTTTTATCATCGAGTTTTGTTCTTCTTTCATCTGGAACTGGGTATATGCAATGCTTACAAACACTTTGAGGTGATAGATCCCTGGCTTCCTTCCACTCCATACTTCTTGTGGTGTCTTCTCATGAAAATTTCTTGTTGGGGAACGGTTTGTCAAGTAAATCTCACATGCCACTGCTTCGGCCCAAAACTCTTTCGACATTTTCTTACTCTTAAGCATGCTTCACACCATATTAAGTATGGTCCAGTTCTTTCTCTCCGCTACTCCATTTTGTTGTGGTGATCTTGGCACTGTTAGTGAGTAGCGAATTTCATGATATTTACAATATTCGTTGAACTCATTTGAAGTAAACTCTCCTTCTCGGTCAGATCTCATGGCCTTAATAGAAATACCACTTTCTTTCTCCACAAGGGCTTTGAACTTCTTAAAATTTTCAAACACTTCTGACTTCTCCTTCAAGAAATAAACCCATGTTTTTCTAGAATAATCATCAATAAAGAAGAGAAACTATTTATTCTTACCAAAAGTGTTTGGATTGATTGGTCCACAGACATCAGTGTGTATGAGCTCTAGTGGTTTTGTCGCTCTTGATGTTGATTCCTTTGGAAAGCTTTTTTGGAATTGCTTCCCAATTAGACATCCTTCACATAGTTGGTCTGGGTGGTTTATACTAGGTAAGCCTCTCACCATCTCCTTCTTTGACAAACATTCTAGACTACAGAAGTTGAGGTGTCCAAATCATAGATTCCATAGCCACGAAGAGTCGGTATAACAAGTCTTGAGACACTTTGCCACATCATTTTGAATGTTCAAGAGGAACATTCTATTCTTTGACATAGGCACCTTAGCGATCAAGTTATTCCCACAATCTCTTAATAAAATACTATGTTCTTTCAAGTGGATGTCATATCCTTTCTCCAATAATTGTCCCAAGCTCAAAATATTATTTTTCATGTCAGGAATATAGTAGACATTGGATATGAATTGATGACTCCCATTCTTTAAGCGTATGAGAATTTTACCTTTGCCTTTGACCGGTATCTTTGAGTCATCTCCAAATGAGACATTTCCAGTTTTCGCTTCATTGATCTCTATGAACATACTTCGATCGTCGCACATGTGGTTGCTTGCGTCAGTGTCGAGGTACCACTGGTTTCTTTTCTCTTCAAATTGGTTTTGGCACGCGAGCAGTGAAGTTTCTTCTTCTCCACCTTTTTCTTCTACAAAGTTAGGTTTCTCCACAACCTTCTTTGAGAATCTACACTCAGATGCACAATGACCTATTTTGTTGCAATTGAAGCACTTGATTTGTAACTTGTTGCACCTTGACCATGAATTTCTATTTCCACGACCTCTTGTTGCTTGTGGATTCCAACTTCTTTCTCCATTATTGAAGTTGTTGGAGTAGTTGTTGTAACTGCCTCTTCTTTCTCCTTCATGTCCTCGTCCACGTCCATGTTCACGGTCTTAGCCACGACCTCGTCCTCTTTGACTCTTGTAATTTGCATAGTTTGCTTCCTTTGCATTGAGTTGTAGTAGTTGCTCCATAGTCTCCTTTTGTTTAGTTTTTCTCTTTTGTTTTTCTTCGTATGCTTGTAAGGAACCCATAAGTTTCTCAATAGTCATGGTGTTTAAATCTTTGTTTTCTTCAATGCTGGTAACAATGAAGTCAAAACTTGGATTTAAAGTGCGAAGTATTTTCTCCATGACATTCACCTCATCAACATCTTTATCATTTCTTTTAAGTTGATTGACTACGAACAATACTCGAGAAAAATAATCAGAAATTAACTCAGACTCTTCCATAAATAAAAGTTCAAACTCACCTCTAAGAGTTTGAAGACAAATCTTTTTCACCTGCTCCACTCCTTTGTTGCAAGTTTGAAGCTTATCCCATGCTTCTTTGGTTGTCGTTGCATTGGAGATCTTCTCAAATGTAACTTCATCCACCAATTGATAAATGAGGAAGAGAGCTTTCTTGTCTCTCTTTCTTGAATCCTTTAATGTCTCCTTTACACCTTGGCTTAAGGAGGCTTCATCTTACTCCTTGAAGCCTTTCTCACCGATATCCCGCACATCTTGAGCTCCTAGTAGCGCCTTCATCTTGATACTCCAATTGTCATATTTGTTCTTTGTGAGCATCAACATTAGAAAAGGGAAACCTCTATTCGCCATCTTTTAAGGACCTTCAAGCTCTAATGCCACTTTGTTGGAAATAAGACCTTTTGTGTTTAGAAAAAGTGTGTGAGAATATTAGAGGCTTAAAGAGAAACTTGATAGGTAGAAGAATTATTTATGGAAGAGAGAAATTTGTATTTTTGCTTGATGCAAAAGTGTAGAATTACATCTCTATTTATAGTACTCTAAGAAAAACTCTAGACACACTAATTCTAGAGAGTTCTCAACTTTAGGAATTTCAAGAGCATTTTAGAAAATATTACAACCCTAAGAAATATCTAGACACTCCAAACATTACAAGACTTTTCTAGAAACATTAATTAAAATTACGTAAGTCTAAAATAACTAAACCCAAAAATCCAAATAATATGTTTAGCCTCAAATCAAGTTTAATCTTTCAACACTCTATTAGAAAGAAGTTGGATGTAATTGTTGAGCTAATTCCCCAAACTACATCCTTCTATATTCATCAATTCTAGGTCCAAGACCACCATTGGTCTAAGAGACAGCTAGTGCAGGATTGTAAGCACGGGAAGGAGCTATTGGAGTACAAATATCATTATTATGCAATTTATTAGTTTCTGATTCAGAGAGTTTTATCTTTGTCTTTAGTGGTGGTCCACCTTGAATCTCATTGTCTGAGTAGCTGTTGACAATCTTATTCTTTGCTTGAGAGCAATTAGATGCAAATTTATGTTTGAAAGTATTACATGGCAGCAAAATATCCACCTTTGAGGCAACAATAATTGTAAGAAGGATCTTCTCATTCACAACAAATTGTGACTTAGATCACTCTTGGATAATAAAGTTGAAACTTGACTAGGATAAACTTTAGACAATGGCAGTCAAGAACTCGATCTAGATTTTAAAATCTTAAGATTTTACGATCTCATTCACTTCCAACGATTCAGATCTTAAGTTATTGTAATGTAGCCAAATTGTGAAAAAAAATCGTAAACTCATTGGTTTTGTAGGATCATTGTCAGTTTCGGCCGTTTTTCGACCACTATCATTAAAATAACGAATATATATTATATTTTAATTGTGTTATTTTTAATAAACAAATTATATATTATATCTTAGAATATTATATTTTGAGAATATGTAGTATATTTTAGTAAACATAATTTATATTATTTTAGAAAAAAAATAGATTTAAATTTGTGTCTAAATAGATTTTAGTGAACATATTTTATTAGGTTGGTGTCGAAATAGAAAAAATAGATTTAAATTTGTTAAATTAATGTGAATAGAATTATATTATTTTGCATATTAAAATTACATATTTTATTAAAATGATATATAATGATAGTACAAATGTGCAGTATAGAATATTTTCGTTACTATCGTAGTTGGATGTACAATAGAACGTTATTAGGCAGACGTGGACCTACACCAAATTTTGAGAAAGGAGTTAAGGGGTTTATCACGTGGGCATTTGCACAAGAATGTTGTCGACGTGAAGGAGGAGTGAGATGTCTTTGTCTTAAATGTGAATGTAGACCTATAGTTAGTGACCCAGAGGAAGTAGAACGTCATTTGAAGAGGAAGTGTTTCATTAAAAATTATTGGGTTTGGACATATAATGGAGAGCAACTGCCGAGTAACGTATATGTAGAGACAACTAATACACACACATCAAGCAATCGATCACATATGGAATTTGATGAATATTTTAATCTGATCGATGATATGGTTGGAAATGCATTTGGAGTAAATGTGACATATGATAAACCTCAGAATTTTGATGGGAAAGAGTTGCCGAATGAGGAAGCACAAAGATTTTATCAATTGTTGAAAGAAATGAATACACCGTTGTTTGAGGGGTCGGCAGATTCAAAATTATCAATTGTTGAAAGAAATGAATACACCGTTGTGTGAGATTTAAATTTTATAGTTAATATTTAATATTTATAGTTAATATTTAATATTTATTTTAATTTTATAGTTGTTTTTAGTGAATATATTTTTTTTTTATTATTAAATTTTATAGTGAAGTGCAACCCATGTCACTAATATAAAACATATTTTCATTTGTGGCATGCAAACCACGTCACTAATTAGTGACGTGGGAATCCCATGGGAAAATGTTTAATTCGTGTCAGACATAACGTGCATAAACATATTAGGAAAGGTAGTTTTCCACGTGAAAACCAAGTCACAACTTAGTGACGTGTTTTTCACGTGGGAACTTTTTCTATTATTTTTATTATTTGAGACGTGAGTCCCATGTCACAACTTAGTGACGTGTTTTTCACGTGGAAAAATGTTCCCACCATTGCTTTTCCCACGTGCTTTACCCACGTCACAAATGTTGCTTACTGAAGTGTTTTTTGGGTTAGTGACGTGAAAATCATTTGGGAAAATGCAATGTTTCTTGTAGTGAATGGTTGTCAAGATCTTGATCTAGATTTTAAAATCTTAAGATTTTACCATCTCATTCACTTCCAACGATTCGGATCTTAAGTAGAATATTGTGTTGTAGCCAAATTGTGAAAAAAAAAATCGTAAACTCATTGGTTTTGTGGGATCATTGTCAGTTTCGGCTGTTTTTCGACCACTATCATTAAAAGGTGAGAAGGATGACAAGATGCAGAGGCGGAACAATTTTGATTCGATGGAGACAAATGCATTCTTTTTGAAATTATGAAGTTTTAGATTTTAGGTTTTGAAAATGAACATCTCACTTACAAAGTTTGTTTTAACTAATTTGACTTATGATAATTCTAATAATTGATCAAGTTTGTCCTTAATGTCTAACAAATGTTCCATGTAGTGGTAATAAAGTATAAAAATTCATTCATACATATTAAAAAAATATGAAAAAGAGACACTTTCTTACTAATACAATTGCCTATTAATATATGTCATCAAAAAATACTTTAAATATACAGTATTATTTTTTTCATTCTACTAGAATCTTACAATTTTTGTTGCGATCTTATGTTTTACGATCTTGTTACTCCATCTGGATCTTACAAAAATAATTGTGTAGGATCTTCCGATCTTAACTACGATTTTATATTTTACGATCTTAATATTCTCTATCGATCTCATGTAAGATCTCGATTTTGACAACCTTACTTTAGACTAATAGATTGATCTAGTTACATAAACCAACGTAGTAAAAGATTACAACTATCAGTAGGATTTTGAAAACAGTAATGTATTTGCAAATACAAAGGCTAAATTTACCCTCCATCTCTATCTGTGAACTATAAACAACAAATTCAAAACAATCAAGAAAAGGACAAAGATGAACAATAGAGATATTTATATTTCTACTTGAATTTCTTGAATAATCCAGTTGGCGAAAATGAGTAAAGGAATTCATCTAGTGAACCAATTGATATCCCTCCTTGTTTAGAATTTGTGAAGAAAATCCACACACTGGTGCAGAGCAACAATAAAACGAAATTTGGAAGCCATTAATGCTTGAGTATACCCTATAAAATTTAACACCAAGAATATCCAACCATGAATATCAAAGATAACTCAATCCAAGCAAAATAATTTCTAACGTCCATCTTCAACCAATAAATAATCTCAAATGACACTTAGTCTCCCACACTGTGATTGAAATAACTAAACTCATCAACTATAGCAAGGAAAAGATGTAAGGAAATAGTCACATTAGTTTTCTGCCCTGTGTCAATAAGTGGCTTTTCTAACATAGTATAATCTCTAAAGTATAGATACCAAAGAAACTTACTAATGGAAATCCAGTATTGTCCATTTTTATAACATATACAACTTATGTGCTTTTTGAAACAATTCAACATTGATATCCTCACCAATAGAATTTATATCATCTTTAAAGACTAATAACTTTAACTCTTCATAAGACAACGCCTTAATGCATTTGTTCACATAAACACAACTAAAATCAACATTGACAACATCAGGTGTAAATGAAAGATGAAGTTGAGACCACTATAACCACCACTTAAGAGTTAGGTCTCTCATTGCCTTTGCAGTTTGAGACATTTTTTCTACTTCTACTGTACCCGTAGATTTGAAGTCTTTTTCTATGCACAAAATTCACCGGTAGGCATCTTCATTTGCATCAAAATTTGGAATATTCATCCCTCACAATATCGATTTAGATTAATCAAGGCAAGAGATCGAAAAGAAAAACACCCATTGATAAAAGTTATAAACTAGAGTATAAATTAATGTTTTAAAAACTGAACCGACCTGGCCGGTTCAACCGGTTGGACCGGGAACTAGAGATAAATCCGGTTGGATCAACCTTTTAAAACTACTAGTGGGTTAAAACCGAAGTTAAACCGGAAAAATCAAATTGGACCGTTCAAAATCGTTCAAACCAAAGAACTGGAGCCGGTTTTGTAAAACCGCCCGATTCAAAAAAATTCAACAAATTGACCATTTTTAAAATTTTTTTAAAAAATTTAAATCAAAACTTAACACACATTCCTCAATCACAAAAAAGAATTCCGTGTGTTTTTTACAAATATACAAACTTCTAAGTTTTGTTACTCTATTATAGTTTTTCTTTCAACCACACTCCATCATAAGCATACATCTCTTTCAAATATAGTCACGATGTCCAACTTTATTGATTATCGTTCAAGTCAATATTATTTGTTGTTGTCAATTAAGACTTGTTTGTCGTAATTCAACTCAAATTCGATTTTTTGTTGTTTAATAAAGTATATTGTATTATTTATATTTTGGTATTCAATCTTATTTAATTTAGGTATTTTTAATTATTTGAACTTTATTTTATTTATTATATTATATTATTTTAATTTTTGTTTGAATTAGTTTAATTTATTTTATTGTAATTCATTAGTTTGGTCAAAATATTCTTAAATGATAGTTGAAATGAAGTGTAGAACTATGTTATGTTATGTATTATTGATATTTTTGTATTAAATTTGTAATGAATTTTTAAAATATTTATTTTATTAATTGAGAACATATAATAATGTGTGACATATCTATGGAATTTAGTTTCATATTATTAGTTTATTTAATAAACGGTTCGACCGTAGGTTTAACCGGTTTAACCAATTGAACCTTAAACGGTAAGTTTCACGGGTTTGATCTCCAGTCCGATTTTTAAAATATTGATTTAAATAATAAAAAGGAGAAAGAACAATAAACTAACATAACAAAAATTTAAATGAACATTTTTCATTTGATTGATAATTTCAAATCTCTCAATGAGAGTACATATATAGCATTATTGTGGGTAGTAAGATAAAAGGCCTAATGGCTAAAAACCCATTCAACAATATTTAAGATAAAATAATTAATTAGCCTCACATATTTTACAATAAATTCGGATGAAAAATGATTAATTGGGAAAAAGCGTCTTTCCTCCCCGAGTTTTTATTTACAATCTATAGAGCATGGAGTTCGAATATTCGCCTTCCACTCAAAAATAAACTCAGCCAATCAAACTCATTTTTGCCCAAACGCAATTAAAAAATCATTTTTTTCATTAATGAACGGTGTTTTATCAATTCTGACGTGATATATTAACAAACTCTTAGCCTACCATGCCCGAGCAGAAAGCAACCTTTAATCGCTGGAATGCAATCAAATAGGATCCATTTTGATGCGATATATAAACAAAAGCTTCAACCTCTCATACGTGAGCATACAGGAAATGTTTAACTGCTAGAACGCGACCTAAACATCGTTCACTAAAAGCAATCAAAAAGCAAACATTTTCTACCAAGAAGTATGTAGCTTCAAGTTCCCCATCACACTTGAGGATACGTAGGAGAAAATGTCGCAATCTTGTCAAGCACCCTAATATAAAAACCTATATTTTACTCATTTATTTCTTTTATAAACATATCATAATAATTAGAAGGAAAACAAATAACATCACGATAACACTTTTCTTCACAAAAATAACTAAATGGTTTCCGTTAAGTACAACGGATGTGAAGGGTGCTTGTAACACCTTTTTCTATCCCACGAATATAATGGCAAATCAATCATATTTATCAGAGTAAAATATTAAACACAATAAAAATCACCTCAAAGGGCGTACATTTCTTAATAACTCAAATAAAAGTCAATTCTCCGCAAACAACGGGTCTTCCCAAAATTACTCAAAAATTGCTCAAAAGGCAGCGGAACTCAAAAAGGAAAAATTCAAAGTTTTCCTTGCGCAACAACATAATCAAAATAACAATAATCAATAAAACATGGTTTAACTCAAAGACCCCAACCCGATGTTACACTATCAGAGCAAGACCCTCTAAGTCAACCAAAAGCCAAAAACTCTAAAAAGTCCTTGACGACATCCATGGCTAAACCTGGTCATCTGCACGTTACCCACGTGGAGGCAACATTCAAACAGACAGGGTGAGTAAAACGATTCATAATAATCAATATAGGAATCAATATATAAAATAGCGTCATTTTCGTATTCAACATCATCATAAAAGCCATAATATCATAAATTACACTAAATTGTCACATAAATGCAAATGCAACAAGACTCATGCATGTGGTACCAATTCATCAAAGTTCGATGGACACTGAGCCATCAACCCTCCATAGATCCCCATCAATAGGATCGATTCTACACAAGAACCAAAGCACAATAAAATACTTCACATCCGCACAATGGGACTGAAGCCACAAGAATCAAACACTAGACCGAAGTCCGGAATGCATATGAATGCATGATGCACACGTCAATATCATCCTCATAATAAACTCATTAGGTGCATCATCATTCATCAAAATTATCATAATAATCATGTCCTCATATAATCATAAAAAAACTCATGGAATCAACATCATAAATCATCATCATTACTCATAGGAATCATCATACAATCATGTATTAACCACATATGAATCACAGTCATACTCAAGGTAATTCATCCAGA